CTCACCCAGGACGGCTGCGGCCTGCCCTGCTGCTCCTGGAGCGGTACCCTGGATCCCCCAGGGTGAAGGGTCCTGCCCCAGACCTCTACCTCTGCCTTCTGGGGGCTGCGCTGGCAAACCTGTTCTCTTCCCTGTCCCCATCTCCTGATTTCTATGAGATCTTTTTGCAGTGCAGTCTAAACAGTTTAATATCAGAGAGACCTATGTTATTAAACTAAATCATCTAAAATCCAGATAATGAAAAGATTCCGAAAGGACCATACTGTGCAATTGCATGGCACTGAATGCTTTTAAAATATTACAACCAATTTTCACAGACAGTTCCCCACCTGTTAACCTTGTACGGTTTCCACCTTCTCTTTGCTCTGGCCTTCTGGTACGAAATTAGTTCAAGTTTCAAGTAATAGTATCCTGAAAAGGTTGGCCTTCCAGGATTGTTTGTTTGTTTTGAATAATCATGGACAATAAGTATTTCTTCTTCTTGGGAATGATAACCGCTTCTTTATCTACTTAAGTGCATGTCCCTTTAGATGCTTTGTAGTGAAAAGAGAAGGTATAATGAAATATGAGATTCAAGAATGATATGACGGGATTGCCAAAACCATCTCCATAGCTCAGGAAATCCTAGCGTGTTTGCGTCTAACTTGAATGCGTTTTGGGCAAAGTGTTGGAGTCGTTGAAAACTAGAATGGTCTTTTTGTTCCAATGGGTCACACAGGAAAGAACCCGGGCAGTCTTGATGAAAGCCCAGGCTTTCCAGGGTACTTGTGTATTGATTTATTCCACGTGTTTGATGTTTTTCTTTCCACATCTGATACCTGCATTCTGGCTAAGATATATTGAAATACCAGTTTGATTTTTTTTTTTAACCACCCGTCCCCTCCCCTGACACAGCCTTGGTAAGATGCTTTATATTTGGGAAGAGCTCAAAATTAGAAATGAATAAGGAAACTGAGGCCCAGAAGGCACAAGTCATTCATTTCCTCTGGATGTCAATTCCCTCATTATAAAGTGTGCGGATTAGACTGGGTAAGTGCTTCTAAAACTTTTCCACCAAAGCACCTCTAGCAGCCATGAAATGAAGAGTACCCCCCTGGGGGATCTGGGGGCATCGCCTCAAGCAGCTTCTGCAAGCTGGAATTTTCTTTGAAATGTCCTATTTTATCTTAAAAATTCATGAGCGCTTTGCATTTTACCAAACAGGAAAGTCTATGTTTGTTTTAATAGAACCGTTAGCTCAACAGTGGAATGACTTTGCTTTCCCACAACATCATCAAGTGCACCCTGCACTCCAGGAAACACTCCATGACTGTACACACTCCTGGGCCCCTACTCCCCACCCCTGGGGACACCTGCCCGGGTTGAGAAGTAGGGGCCTCCCTTGGTGAGGAGCCCCTCAAGCCGCTTCCGGCAGGACATCCGTTCATGGTCATGTCTGGCATTGAATGTTTTAGAGGAAAGTAAGGATATTAAAAGAGCTGCCATTCAGGCACTGAGGTGGCATCTGAGGGGGGGGGAGGAAAATCCAGTTAGACAGGCCCCCATGCAATGGGATGTCAATGGCAGGACCAGAGAAATCTCCACCCAGTGAGAGACGCACAGAGAGGCTAAGGGCCCTGTCGAGCAAACCAAGAGAAAGGCGCAGAACCTTGGATCTAGAAGTGGCCCCTAGCAGCAGGGCAGTCCACCGAATGTCCATGACCCCTCCATAACCTTCCCCACTGATGCTTCAACAGCCTCATGCTGGGAAACTTACTTTCCCACCAGACTCCCCATTCCACATATCGGGAGTTCTTGAGGAAAGACTGATTTAAAGCCAACTCAAAACATTGCTCCCAGGAGTCCCGCATCTGGGTTCATCCGACACCAGCCGCCTCCGTCATGCCGCCCAAGTTCGACCCCAACGAGATCAAAGTCGTGTACTTAAGGTGCACCGGTGGGGAAGTCGGTGCCACCTCCGCGCTGGCCCCCAAGATCGGCCCCCTGGGCTTGTCTCCAAAGAAGGTTGGTGATGACATTGCCCAGGCAACGGTGACGGGAAGGGCTTAAGGATGACTGTGAAACTGACCACTCAGAACAGACAGGCCCAGACTGAAGCGGTGCCTTCTGCCTCTGCCCTCACCATCCAAGCCCTCAAGGCACCACCCAGGGACAGGAAGAAGCAGAAGAACATTGAGCACAGTGGGAGCGTCACGTTCGATGAGATCGTCGGCATTGCGCGCCAGATGCGGCACCGATCTTTGGCCAGAGAACGGTCTGGGACTATTAAAGAGACCCTGGGGACTGCCCAGCCTGTGGCTGCAGTGTTGACGGGCGCCACCTCACGATATCATAGAGGACATCAGCAGTGGCGCCGTGGAGTGCCCGGCAAGTTAAGACTACAAAAGAAAACAAGAAAGACTCATTTAATCACACAAATGGCCCCCCACAGCACTGGAGACACTGTGCGGAAAGTGTGCCCGGTCGGCCCCGCTGAAGGGAGTGCAATAGGGCAGCAAGGGAAGTAAAGTAACAAAGTTCCGGAGGAATCCTGAAAATAGACTTCTGAAGCATGGCACAGGGCTTGTACCTGACCAGATCGATTGGAAAACACTCATAAGGGACAGCAGACAGACCTCAACTATCTATCATTTTTTGGTTTGGTTTTGTTTTTCTCTTTCGCTCTATGTTTATCTATATAAGATAGGCCAGATAAATATTCTCAGGAGAAAACAATGGGACCAGTGGTCCCAGGGGGACATGGGAGAGGAGGGGTGGGGAGGGGTAACCAACAAACTCAGGGATGAGGGAACAACAAGAGATCTAAAATTGATGGCGAAGAGCATGTATAATGCCTGGTAGGGTCTGAGCAAGTGCAATGTATCGGAGAAGAATTATTGAGAGCCAAATGGAGGGTGGGCATGATAGTGGGGCAGGAAGAAAGTACAAGGAAACAGAGGAAAGAACTAGGAGGCAAAAACTATAGAGGAATAGCTATAGGCATGTAGATATGTAAATATACTAATTTGTAATGAAAGGGAAAGAGACCAATGTACATAGATTTGCATGTTAAGTATTACGATAGCAGATGGACTTTGGGCCTCTACTCACGGCCTCCCTAAACACAAGAACACTGTGTTCTAAACCTGGCACTCTTTGATGCTCACCTTCCCAACACAATCGCTGAAGATAAAATGGGTGCATAAGCACATGTGGTGAAGAAAGAAGATGGTGCTCGGCTATCAAAAGATATAGTGTCTGGGGTATTAAAGGCTTGAAGTTAAACAGGCAGCCATCTAGCTCAGAAGCAACAAAGCCCACAAGAAAGAAGCATACCAGCCTGTGTGATCATGAGGTGTCAAAGGGATCAGGTGTCAGGTATCAAAATATCCACACACAAAAAAAACACAATTGAAGTAAAGGGAGTTTGGAGTGGAGACTCAAAGCCCATCTGTAGACAACTGAATATCCCCCCACAGAAGGGTTATAAGGAAGGGACGATTCAACCAGGGTGCAGTATAGCACCAAGGAAACACACATCATTCCTCTAGTTCCTGAATGCTTCCTCCCCACCCACTACCATGACCCAGTTGTACCTTACAAATCGGGCTAGACCAGAGTACACACATTGGTACAAATAAGAGCCCTGGATACATGGAACTCAGCACAGATAAAGCCATCAGGAACAGTAGTGGGAGTATTGATATCATAAGGGTAGGGGGATGGTGGGGGCTGGAGGGGCAGGGGGAGAAAGAGGGAACCCATCACAAGTTGGGACATATAGGCCCCTCCCAAGGGGAATGAATAACAGAAATATGGGTGAAGGGAGACAAAAGACAGTGTAACACACGAAATAATAATAACAATACATAATTGATCAAGGATTCATGAGGGTAGGAGGGTGGGAGAGGGAGTGGGGGGCGGAGAGGAGCTGAAACCAAGGGCTCAAGTAGAAAGTGTTTTAGATATGCTGATGGCAAAATATGTACAAGTGTGCTTAATATAATTGAATGATGGATTGTTAAAAGAAAAAAAAGAGAAGAAAAAGAAAAAAGAAGAAAAAAAAAGAGCCCCCTAATAAAATGATTAGTTTTTTTTAAAAGGAATAATAAAAGAGATACACAAACTAGAAGAAAAAAATGGCCCCCACGCAGAGGGCATCCCTCAACACTTAAAAACCAACATTAAGCCCCATTGCTGTGAATCCATTCTGACTCTTAGCAACCCTCCTACAACAGCACAAAATGCCGCCCGGCCCAGCACCACCCTTACAGTCACTGTTGTGCTTGAGCCCAGTGGAGCACTTATCACTCCACCTCCCTGATGGTCATCCTCCTTCCTGCTGACCCTCTCCTTCTGCAGGGACAGTGAGTGAGACACTCACTGAGCACAGAGCACAACTGCTCTGAGTCTTCGAAGCTCCAAGTCCTCACAGAGGCCACTGCCACAGGCTTTTCCTAGGGGGCTGGTTATCAGGCCAATGCTAGAATCCACTGTGCCACCAGGGTTGGCAATTCCTTCCTTCACCACCCTTGTCATCCCAAAGTCTATGATGTGTCCTCTCTCTTTCTTAATGAAGGACTCCAATAGTATTTCATTTTCATTAATTCGTGGTCTGGCTGCCCATTGAAATGTAAGCTCTGTGAGAATAGGAATCCTATCCATCCCCTTACTGCACACCCCGGTGTCCAACGGTGGCTGGCACACCATAGATTCTAGACACAACCAAGTGAATGAGTAACTCGAAGCAGTGTTGTGACAGGAGTAGAATTCAAGACCTACGATAAGAGTTTCCATTCAACCTTCAGATCAACAAGCTGTTGAACTAGACTTCACCAGACAGTGAAGAAGCCCTTGTTCCTGGGTTTTAATGAAATAAACAATGTTTTAAATATTTCAAATGTATTGGTAGTAAGCTTTCTGAAGTTTTTTCATTATGAAGAGATTTTATAATATGGAATTTTAGAAAGTGATGATGCATGTACATAAAAAATTACAACACCATCAAGAGGAAGACCCACCTGCTGGTCATATCTCTTCTTCACGTCATCGAGCTGCCACAGAAAGTCCTTGGACTGTTTCTCGCGGAGAGACTTGGACCTACTTAGATCTGCTTCCACCTTCTCCATCTAAAAACCAGAGAGAAAAATAGGGCAGTTTGAAACAAAAATACCAAGTTTCATGTTTCTGTAACATGCCAAATCACAATGATTTGACACACCTCACTAATCAGAGTGAGGAACCAAAAGGTGATATAATACCAAAAAAATTATCAATAGAATTTGAATATATCTTTATAAGTTGAAGGCACAGAAATGGAACTTTGATGTGTAACTGAAGAATTCTAATGTTATAACTATATTGCAGTAGAAATAAAATTTTGAGGCATTCAAGTATTTATTCAGTAAGATTTTATCACACCCCTGGTATGAACAAGGCACTGTGATAAATGGGATAAAATATTTGCAAATGACAAATCTGATAAATTACTTGTACCTAGAACAGATAAAGAATTCAAACAACTCAACAATAAATGGACAACTAAACCCAACCACCACTTCATTATGAAGAGTGGGAATTGATTTTCTGACTGTGAATGTTGTTTTTGGCAACAAAAGGGGTGGGGGGTGGTGGTGCAAAGAACTCGATTATAGAATGCCCCTGTGTTACAAATGAGATCTGTTCCTTTAAGGATTTGTCAGGGCTTTGAACTAGTTCTGCCGTGTTCTGTCAGGGCCACAGAAGCTCCACCAGAAAAGACCCAGACTTTCAAAGTGACAGTGAACTAGAAAGATAGACAGAATGGTCTTGCTGGTAACTTCCTTTCCCTCTTCCCATTGCCTGCCAACCACATCCCTTGTCCCGGCATGTGCAGTCAGCCCCACAGTTGGAAGCAGGGCTGTCCTGCTCAGAGAGGCTAGTATCCAGCTCAAATGGCAACCTCTGCTCAAAGATGGCAGCCAACTGAATGTGTACAGCCCTCCCACAATCCCGGCAGCAATCCCATCCCACACACCACACTCCTACTGGAAGGCTCCCTCCTTCTGCCTCATCTGAATTTCCCTTCCCAAGGCTGCCAGCGGCAATTGCTCCCATTCTGGGTCCCTTGCTGAATCTGGCAAATTGTCAAACTTCAAATCCTCTTTTACTTAGTCAACCATGACAGACTGGTTTTAAGGACAAGAAAGAGTTGTCTGTAAGTTAGACTTTCATAACCCGGGAACTGTCGGCATACAATTCTGTAAACCAGATATGTGGGAGTTACAACATTTCATGTCAACTTGAAGATATATAAAGGTGTAGGGGTGGTATTCAACCTGTCAATCAGTTTGCACCCTGACAGTGCCTCCTTGTAGGTGTGGCTTTCTCCTAAAGAGGTCTCTAGGTACCTCTGCCTTCACCTTCCTGCTGGCCAGCCACTCTGAGACCTGCCAGAGCTCTGGGATGCTTCCACACCATTGGATCCACCCGACTTTCCACCCACTGGCCTGTGAGATTCCTGCATTCTATATCACTGCATGTGAATTCACTGCTCTGTGAATCTGAAGAAGGACTTATGGACTAGTATCAGACTTAACGACTTAAGGCAGCAGTTCTCAACCTGTAGGTCAAACAACCCTTTCACAGGGGGCCGCCCAAGACCACTGGAAAACACATATTTTGTTTTTTTAATCATTTTATTGGGGGCTCATACAACTCTTATCACAATCCATACATATGTCAATTGTGTAAAGCACACTTGTACATTTGTTGCCCGCATCATTCTCAAAACATTTGCTTTCCGCTTGGGCTCTTGGAATCAGCTCCTCATTTTTCTT